TGAACCCCAGACCCAATGGAACGCTCACAACCTGCAAAGTGCGAGGGTTCACTTTGAATTACAGAAACCAACAATATCTCAACTTTGACACCATGAAAGGACTGGGAAAGAGGGGGAGAAAATCAGTTTGGATTACCCTCATCACATCATTCGAAAAGGACCTCGGCACGAAAACGCTCTTGTGACCCGACCCACCCGAAAAGACTATCGTACCGTGTACGACAAGCGACGTCTTGTCTACGACGAAACCACAGGGCTGCCTGTAGACACGCTCCCCTTTGGGTACAGAGACGACTAGATCATTTTTTAATTTTTTATATTTTTTTTATTTCATACCATTGGGGTGTCACAATGGATCGAAACTGAATTGACATGGACACCTACAGAAAAAAACGGATCGAAGTCTGATCAATCAGAAGCCTGAGTTGTGCTCGGGCCATGGTTGGCTCTGATTGGCCGAAACGAGGTTGTGCTTTCTCTCTCACGCTACAAGCTTAACCCTGTCAAAAAGAAACACAAGGGTCGGTCCAGTTTGGAAAACCAAGGTGAAAGTCAGACACCGGAACGGACCAATCAGAAAGCAGGACCTCAGTGCCTTTTAATACGACCAACGCTCTCCGGTCATCACTTTTCACTGAACGGACCAAGCAACAACATCGTCCCTCTGATTGATGTTCCTCACGTTGTGTTGGTTGTTGGCGTTTTATCTGGAAGAAACACGTGTTTGGAGAGAGTACCATCAAGTGTTGACACACATCCGTGAAGACTTGGAAAGAAACAACGAACAGAAAATCTGGACAACATCATGTCGAAACGGTTGAATGCCAAGACACGGAGCGGCATGGGTTGTAAAGGAAGCAGTGGAGATAAGAACGGAGACATGACTGCTGAACTGTGGGGTGAAGTGTACGACATGATGTGTGCAAAGATAAAGGCCGACGACGCGTACGCCAAGATACGTTCAAAGATGAGGAAACTGACTGAACCCAAGAAAGTAGCACCGAAGAAGACGATAAAGAAGACCCTGAAGAAAAAAACAAGCAAACCAGCAGCAGCAGCATCAACCACAACCACCACAGCAGCAGCAGCTGCCACCACCACCACCACTACCCTCACAACAGCGCCAGTCACCACCACAACAGCAGCAACAGCAGCAGCAGACACCGAAACGAAGGGGACATCCTTTTTGAAACCTGCAACAGAGGCAAAAAAACGGCCACGGAAGAAATTGTCTCTGAAGATCTCTCATCAAGAACAGCTGTAAGTACCATGCTATTCTTTGTCTCAGTCATTCTTGATGTGATGATGATGTTGATGTTGAGTATACTGAAAGGTTCTTTTCTTGTTGGATTGACAGGATTGACAGGATTGACAGGACCCCAGATGTCAGTTCAGCCAAGTCCGTGCTAGAACAGTGGTGGGAACAAACCCCTCGGGAGCCAACCTATTCACCGAATGCGCCTGTGATGATGACGACTGGTGACGGTGTTGATCATGAAACGCTCAAGCTGGCAACTCTCCCTTCCATGGATCTGGACACACCCACCCTGCTTGATGCTTCTTGGTCACCAGCATCACCGGAAGATGTCTTCTCCTCAGGTATGCCCATGGTTTGCAATGATGACAACGTTGACCAGGATCCTTTTGGAGAAGCTCAACTCACTCCCCTACAACGTGAATGTAGTGCCTGCCGACACAACAACATGTTAAGATACATAAGCTGCTACAGTGGTCAAGTGATGGGTCATCTCTGTTTCAGGGAGGCCATAGACTGTACTTGTTTTACTGATGGACCTCTCACATGTTTGGGACCTGTTTGGGACAGTATGATGGAGAACCACATCTTATGGTGACCTCATCTTCACTCGAAGAGCTTGAAGATAGAAGAGCTTGAAGATGAAAGAGGAAACATTGTCGCGTTGTTGTTGTAGGGACATGCAAAGCACTCCCTCCTCCATTGTCTTTTCATATTTCCTATGTATCTGGTTGTGGTTGTTAAAATAAAAAATAGATAAAAGAGAAAGGCCATGCTTGAAAGATCAGCTGCCTGGTGTCAGTCATTCCAGTACACACCACCACTATCACCCTGTGTCATGTCATGTGTCATGTCATGTATCATGCCGTGTGTCAGTCAGCCCAAACACAGGATGACGTCACGTGATGAGGTGGATGAGGTGGAGGATGAGGAGGATGAGGTCATGACCTTCCGTTGAAGGGGGTAGGGTGGAGAGTTTCATAAAAGCAGGCGAACCCTCAGACCTTCTTTCAGTGAAGTCACAGTCATCATGGAGCAAAGAATGGTTCTATGAATGGGTCTATGAATGCCATGTCATCCTCCCGAGATGTCCCCGATTCCGAGTGGGTGTCTGAAAAGGCGGGAGAACAAGAAGCGAGAAAACGCACACTCTTTATGGACGAAACACTCTTTATGGACGACACATGGCGACTCAGTGACATTCTGGAGGGACCTTTTCCTTCTTACACCTTGTGTCATCCTTCTTATCCCAACTATGATTCATTTCAAGAACGTCTGAGGTCTTTTCAAACGTGGCCTAAACAGATGACCCAGACCCCTTTTGACATGGCCATGGCTGGCTATTTCTATCCAGGACGAGATGACTGCGTTATCTGTTATTGCTGCGGTGTGACACTCTGCAAATGGGAAGCCACAGACAAACCCTGGAAAGAACATCTGAAGCACGCCAAAGTCCCCTGCGAATACTTGTGTGTGTTTTGTCCTGATGGAGAAGTGAACGAAAAATACAGACGTTTGGTGTCCCAAGAAGCACGGAAGAGAAGAGTCGAGTGTCTTGTTCACCCCAAGTGACAAAGTTTCTTTTTTTTCAAAGTGTACAGACGTTCATACCCTCGTGGTCACCCTCGTGGTCACCCTCGTGTTCACAAAAATCACAGGGACACCCCCCTTATCCTGTGACTTTTATTTTGTTGTGTTGGTTTATGTGAGCGGGGGATTAAAAAAAAAGTTGAACAAATAGTAGTGTTATGTTGTCTGTAGGATGAAGAAAAAACAAAACAGGATCGAAATGCACACCCCGATAAAAAAACGGATCGAAATCTGACCAATCAGAGGTTTGGGTTGTCGACCAATCAGAGGCCGCGCTCGGGTCATGCTGGGCTCTGAATGGACGAACCGGGGTTTTGCTTTCTCTCCCATGGTAAAATCCATTTCCTATGGAAAAGAAACACAGGGGTCGGTCCGTTTTGGAAAACCGAGGTGCAGGCCAGGCACCTGAACGAACCAATCGGAGCTGCTGCCTGGCGAACCAATCAGGAAGCAGGGTGTCAGTGGCTCTCCTATAAAAAACAAAAAACATGAGCGAAGCCACTCACACACTGCATTCTATGAAACCAACCATGCCACCTCGATACGGTTGATTGAAGTGCCAGACCGACAGTCAGAGTTACCTGTACTGCCCTGAAGTGACATGTCTCGACAGTCACACTCAAGGTCACTGTCACTATGTCTGTCCGAAGATAAGCAGTCAAGAGAAGCAGAACCAGGGCCCATGTTACAACTGTCAAGTCGTGGGTCATTTCGCTGCAGATTGCCCAGAACCCAGTCGAAAGAAGACTCCTCAGGGACCCTGTTACAACTGCCAAGTCGTGGGTCATTTCGCTGCAGATTGCCCAGAACCCAGTCGAAAGAAAACGTCAGCAGTCCCGTCCACGTCGACATCCGTGACACCAGTGACACAAGTGCTTCATCTCATAGAAGCCATGCATGTCGATGTCCTCGACCTAAAAGAATGCATCACACAACTCCGTGTGGGCATCACACCTCGTCTAGAGAAAAGAAAACGGAACAGAAGCCTCTCAAGAAAACACTCTTCAAAGCGCCGACCACACCTTCAGTCCAAGGATGAGATGGAGGTAGAGGATGAAGAAGATAGATCATCTGAACAGTGACTAATGCATGCGGCATGCTGCTCCACTGTTTTTTTCCAGTTTCCCATCGTTTCCAGTTTTTCCAGTGTTCCAGTGTTCCTACCGTTTCCTGCCGTTTCCAGTTTCCAGTTTGTTTTCCAACGGACCTTTTCAGGGCCACCCATCTCTCCCGAAAGAACGCTTTCATCCTCTGCTTTGACGACCCTCAAACCCAAACAAAGCACCCGCCTCCTCCTCCTCCCTCCCTCCCTCCCTTCCTTCACCACCACCTCCTTTTCTATCTTTAGAACAACAAAAGAACAACAAAAAACTCTATTCTGGTTCACCTTTTACGACCGCTTCTCTGGATTTTTTCCCCTACCCTCCTCCTCCCCCGGAAACGGATGCGACGCCCTCTTTGAGGCGCACGCCACCGGAAACGGATGTGACGCCATCTTGGATGCGCACGCAGGACCCACAATGCCCTACGCGCATGCGCAGGTCACGTGACCGGAAGTGACGCCACAGAGGTCACGTGATCCTCTCGACCAATCAGAAGCGGTACTGTACCGCTGCCATCAACTACTTGTGGTAACACTATACGTATTGATTATAACATTTTTTGGCTTTGAAAAATGCTTTTGCATGGCACACGAATGCTTTTTGTGTTCGGTTAGTCATGGCATTTTTTATCATAAGAACAACACGTCTACATGTAGGACATAGGTAGGATTGTACAGCATTTCACTCAAATATGTGCGTGTTAAACAATGTGACCTGACAATGTTATCATGAATTCCGTGTCATTTATCTATGTTGTTGTTATTGTCAGCAGCTTGGAAATCCCCGTGACGTCATTGGAAAACACCCGCTTTTTCGATCTCTTACACAAATGAGTTCTCTGTCAGAGTTACGATAGGCATCGTAGCTCAGAACGATCTGCGACAGGTTTACGATAGTTTCGAAAATCTATCTTAAATGAACGTAAGTTGTTAAGATTTATCTTAGCTAAGATCGTTTCGAAAATCTTGGCCCTGGTCTGCCCAACCACGGACCTATATAACCTACAAGTCCGTGGCCCAACTGACGTGATCTTCAACCCAATCAAAACGTACCTGTCTGGTATGTAGGATCAGTGGGATGCTAATGCATGTCCTCTGTGACCGGAGACGCACTGTCATAGTAGAAACGTTCACGACTCTTCTGAGTGTGGTGGCAGTCACGAAGTGATGAGGTCTTGTTACAATCTACAGGAGAAACCTGTCCTCCCACTGTATGGTGGAACTCTTTAAACCACCTGCATGTCGCTGGGTAGGTGATCCTAACGTCTGGTATCGATTCCACGCCCCGCTGATCCCCCCTCCCCCCCGCTAACATCAAAGACGTTTGCAATGTGATGTTGGGTTGACCCAGATTCAACCATGCCTATTCATCTGCTTAATTCTTAGGTCGACAAACGACGTCTTTGACGCGAAGGGGGCATAAGTGCATTCAGTTGATGCGAACATCAGCAGGCAATGTTGTAGTGATAATGATAATGATGTGCAACGATGAGCATCACACATAATACAAATATATGGTGAATATCTCACAAATAATAACGGCACAACTAATTTGGTGAACTCTATTCACATCCACTTCACCGTTAAAAAATGTGTTTAAACCCTAAACGCAAACTTCAACACGTTCCTTCTCCCTTAATTATTAGGATTGTCTTTAACAGCAAAACGTATATAGGGTCTAAATGTGTATATCCCCTTGAAATTAATTGTGGGTAATTTAAAAGAGGGGAGCGTTTATGTTTTTATTACCGTTTAGGGGGGATACAGGAGTGACGTGTGTTATGCAAGTGCCCCTGAATATGATTTGCACCTCTACGTTCAATATATTGTTTAAACATATCATAATCAACGTTACTTCAAAGAGATTGGTAAACATGCCCAACTGGCTTATTTAAATACCACTCACTGTTACACAGTTACATTTGTGTAGTCATCAAAACTTTAAGGTCAGGAATCAGTATACAATACACAGTAAGAAGACCACTCATGTTACCAAAGCTACAGTCATATTCATATAAACTCAAAATAATTAGTCACACTCAATGTACAAATCTTCCACGCTTTTCGATTAAACTATGAACAGACATAAGTATGTTGTTGTTGGCATCTCTTTTTAAAAATAACATACAATATTGTTTTCAGATCAAAACCCTTTGTGTAGTGGTAGTAGTAGTGCTAATTTTGCGAAAAGTAGAGTGAAAGTGGAGACTTTCTTTCTACTTTATGACTCTATAAAGATCACTACATCCAATTCTTCAACGAGCATGGACAATTTGACAATATCGAGTACCGGAATTGAAATAAAAATAAGTGTAAATTTCAGAACTATTCAATGTTTTTAGACCAGCGTATGTTCTAGAATGGTTAACACCATCCGTTAACAGATTCCAGAGGCGGGTAATTGCTGGAAGAAGGGCTTACTTCAAAGCGAATATATAACTGCATATCACTTCTTAAATTGTTATGATTATCTATATGTCTGACGCGGAACGAGATTGCACAGATATTCTGGAGCAATATTGTTAATCATTTTGTAATATAGACATTGGTGTTTTTTTTAATTTCTCTCACTTTCTTGAGACGCTGTAGACCAGTAACTTTTTATTAATTTAACAAAAGTTCTATTGATGCCCACTGCTTTTAATTTAGAAAGTAACCCCTTGTGCCATACCTTATCAAATGCTTTACTTATATCACAGAACACTGCCCTAACGTCCTTACCATAATCTAAAGCAGTAACTATATCATTGTACGCGAGTTTATAATGCGTGGCATCTCAAGGTATAAAACACGATTGTAATTGGACAAAATATCATTATCACTAGGAAAGTTAAAAACATACTTGAAGATTCGTGTACATCTCACGAAAGCTTTGGCTAAGCATGAAGTTAAAGCGGCTGGTCTGTAGTTGGCACAATTATTAACGTCACCGTTTTTGTGTGAATATGTGCCACATATGCTTCTTTCCACATGTCAGGACATTTAGCGTTTCTAATAGTCACAATAAATAGTTCAGTAACATATGGGGGTAAGCTCTTGGCGATAATTTCAACTCATCTGTTTCCAATATCATCAGGCCCAATTGCTTTAGTAACATCAAGAGACAACAAGAACATCACACACCTCTTCCTGAGAGAAGACATATCACATAACGTAATTTCTAGATTATATTCTTTAAAAACAGAGGGGTACTTTGTGGTTTATCAACCTGTGCCTATTCACAAAAATACTCATTAAACATATTGACTATTTCAACATCTGTATCATAAACAGTATTAACAATTATTGGCGGAAATGAAGATGCCAATGTCTTAGATCTAAAGTAATTCCTAACAAGATGCCGCCATGTTTTATTTCCCTGTGAACTATGTATTCTGTCATCTATACTCTTCAAAAAAAAAGAAACGCAAAGCCAGAGTTGTGTGAGGTAGGTGATTGTAGTCATCTCAGTTATCGGTACATAGGAAAAGCCCAAGGTGAAATTCAGCTACCATCAATAACGCATATGTCCAACGTTGGAATCGATAGCGACCTGAAATCTCCTGCCCACGGAATAGACGAGTATGCGAATCACATGCTGGGGAAATGGTAGCCCACTCGGCCTGTATTGCAAATGCCAACTGCTGCAACGTCTGGGGTTGTGGTTTACGTCAGGGTAGCCGTCTATCCAATTCATCCCACTGGTGCTCTATCGGGTTCAATTCCGGGGTTCTTGAGGGCTAGGGTAGAACATCAACGTCTTGTAATCCGTGCTGTATGCGGTCGAGCGTTGTCCTGTTGGAATACACCGTTACCGTTGGCTGCAATTAGGAGGACGTGTGGTGGGAGAATTTCGTTGATGTATCGTTGAGCCGTAAGATTGCCCTGGAAATGGACCAAACCTGTTCTGCCATGATGAGAGATAGGCGCCCACATCATAACACTACCCCCACCAAACCTGTCCTAAGTTTCTGGCGTAACGTTCTCCCCGACGTCTGTAGATCCGAGCTCTTCCATCCCCTCGACAGAGGAGAAATCTTGATTCGTCGCTGAACCAGACATCCTAGTGGTCAAAGCGTTCGCTCGTCACGCCGAAGCCCCGGGTTGGATTCCCGACATGGGTACAATGTGTGAAGCCTATTTCTGGTGTCCACCGCCGTGATATTGCTGGAATATTGCTTTAAACGGCGTAAAACCATACTCACTCACTCACTCATTGATTTAAACAAATACTGGATGTACGGATGTATATTGCCTAAACAAACACGATGGGGACTATCCCTTGGCCAGCTGATGGACAAGTACGAAGTCGTCGTTCATGTAACCAAACAGGATGTTAGTCGTAAAATGCTCGTTACAGATCAAAGGTCGTTTCACACACTCAGCAGTGTATGTAATGTTGTTTTTGTTGGATTAAAGCTGAAATGAAAACATGTGTCACCCATCGCTGCACCGTTGCGCCGGTAGCTTTAGGACACGCCCCCAAATACACTGAACAACAAAAGTTGCTGTGACATTGAATAAAATTTAATGCAAAGTTATGTTCTTACCAAATCTGAAACATTTTCGGTTTGCGACAGATAAAAGACTCCTGTAAGTGTTCAAATGGTTTGATTTGCCATACTGACTTCAGAAAATGTGTGATTTCATTAAAAAAACCAAGAACATGCCAAAATGTCAATTTACAAATCAATAGCGTGTGTGTCCACCTCTGGTTGCGATGCAAGCAACAGATCTTCGTCTCATGGAATGGACCAGGCATCGCACAAAGTCCTGTGGGATATCTGTCCGTATCTGCTGGAGCATGTTTCGAAGTTCCTGGAGTGTCTGTGGAACACGTGGTTGACGTCGAAGGCGCCGATCCATCTCATCCCACATGTGCTCGATTGGTGAGAGATCAGGGGAGCGAGCCGGCCAGGGGATGACATTCACGTTGTTTTGTTGAAGAGATTACTTAACAAGTCGAACAATATGAGGCCAGGCGTTGTCACGTTGAAAGGTAATGCCTGGGCCATGACGACGCAAAACGGTAGAACAACAGGGTCGATGATCTCGTCGCGGTAGTGCTGTCCATTGAGATTTCCCTCTACCACTATCAAACGGGTCCTCTGTCTTGCTGTAATCCCACCCAATACCATAACGCTGCCGCCCCCGAACCGATCTTCTTCCACGAAACAATGATTGACGTAACGTTCACCTCGACGTCGATACACTCGAATCCGTCCATCGATGTGGCTGAGGTGAAAACGAGACTCGTCAGTAAATATAGAACTTGTCCCCACTGCATGGCCGTCCAGCGTAGACGCTGTCTGCACCACTGTAGACCTGTTTCCTGTCAAAATGGGACGTCTGGCGGGTCTTCTGGCGACAATTCATGCACATCTGAGACGACGACGTACGGTTTGTGAAGATATTCGTCGAAGGCCAGGTATGCTTCTTGCAGTCACTGTTGCTCATCTTCCCGAGGCAAGAGAGTTAACTGACTTTAAAAGTCCAGTTTCCACCCTTGCCGAACTTGGCTGGAATTACTGGGCTCGACCGTAGCGCCACCAGTGGTCATTACGTGTTATGTCCCTCTTAAGCCTCTCCTATGGGCCAATCAGATTCCACCCCTCGTATCACTTGCATTTGTTTCAAACAAAATGGCGGCGCCCTGTCTAGACGATCTGATCGATAATCAACATCTATTGTGTGATAAAACGGGTCTTACGTCGTGAAGTGCATCAAATCACGTGGGCACCTTGATTAAAAACATGAAAAGATTTGGAAAAGAAATGTTAACAACAAGTTGGCGGTGCACATGCAGTGCAAATACTGCAATCGACCGAAATCTGCACAACAGTTTACGAACCGAAATTTCGTTGCGCGATTTTGATTGGACTATGCATAGACTCGTTAGTCCAGGCAAAATGTAACTAACACGTCCCATTTTAAATTCTGGAAACCCAGAAGTCCAGAAACTCTAGGGTCTTTGCCGACTCTCGGTCAAAGGCATTTACAAAATTAAACATGCTGTTTTCATGGGAACATACCAAGGAAGAAAAAATGAAAAAGAAATTGTTCAAAAACTCAATATTTACACTATGTCGGCCATGGGCATGCCCATGGGCGACGACTGGCCCATGGGTAGGCCCCCGAGAATATGTTCCTTTACTTAAAACTCATGTTTTTGTTTCGTAAATACATTAAATGTATTCATTCAAGTATCATGACACAATATTTAACTCATTTTAACT